GTCCGGCTCCAGAACCCCAGACTGCTCCCAAGTTACAACACAAAATTGATCCACATCCACACGAGGAAGAACCTCAAAAGGTGGTAAGATTCCTCTGGTTGCACCTGAGCTCCATAATTCAGTACATGCCACTCTGCTTTAGACTCTTCCGATGAACAAGTTTAGGAATAGTTTCTTCATSAATAGGGGTGGGGTGACCAGGCGGCGAATGAGAAAAGGACTACAATTATCAAATTTCACAAATASAAGTAATTTTTACTTTTTTATTTTACTACCAGCACCGATAATTGCAGAAAGTTTKATCTATCTATAAGAATGACTTCAGATATTATTTCTTCCGGAGGATCTTAATTTGARGTTTCTGGAAAGGGTTAATGGTTTGGTGAGTTCATCAAGTTAACGACACAGATGAGCCCATTTTATGTCTGAGAGCAGAGATTTCAAATTTGAAAGAATTTCTGTAGTTAGTAAAATGATCAGATGTCTGAACCTAGCCCTCTGCTGGTGTGGGCATGGACTTGTGGCTCAAATAGAGCCCTTTCCCATGGATGCCTGCAACAATCCACAGAAAACTGCTTTCAATGAGTCCCTCCAGGGGCTCTTTCAACAAGCACAATGCTATAAGCCAGAGAYGGCATGGTAATAAAACAGACTCAGAGTCTGCCTGCCAGAGCTCATCACTGAAAAGAACACCTGAACCTGGCCACAACAACAGAGGATAATTATATTAGTGGTGGTTTTAAGAAATTTCTGTAACCATAACTATTTTAAATGCTCATGTTTTATATATTTTTCTTTTTAAAATGCTAAAGTAATAATTCAGCAAGTTATAGGTTTTTAAAATTACACCTTTAGTAAATGTATCTGGCTTATTGTCAAAAAATGTGTTTTGACACGATATCATATTACAACAAATTACTGGAAAAAATTTTGAACCACTGAAAGCGGTACCGGGTTAGTAGTTTAAAAATGCCTTAGAGATACAGAGAAGCTAGTCACTGAAAATTTTTTAAAAMATTAAAGACAAAGTTACAGAATATTTTCCTGTAATAAGTGAAGCTCTATACAAAATATCTTTTAGTAAAGATTTCTTGGTTGGGAACTGAGAAGAGGAAGATGGTCAAAAGCAACCAATGAAACCAAAAAAGCCAATGAGAAGCAATGATTTATCTTAACATAAAATTTTAACTTACACCAGTTGGGCTTAACCTTAAATCTTTCCTCCAAGCTATGCCAAAGTAATAATCATACTTAATAGTAGAAATAACAGYGTATTATGGTTAGCAGAAAATGTCTAGATTATTCCAAATTATTCTATACACATATTTATTTTTAAGTCATTATTATGGTATTGAAATCAATTACATCTTCATAGTTCATTGGTTCAGAACATTTTACATACTTACCCTGATATAGAGTAATATTTTATCAGCTAATCCAATAAATATTATGAGCTCCTGAGACCTTCACCAAATAGAGTTTTCAATGTCCTACATGTGTACAGCATAGTTCATGTTTACATCTAACCTTAAAGGACTGGAGGATGCTCACCACCTGACATATAGATCTTTCTAGGTCCCTACAACACTAGAAACTGGGAGGTCACTGAAGACCACGGAACTGCCATTCTAAAGAGGAAGGTAAGCCCAGGGATTAGATGTTTGCCAAATCAGAACACAATCTAGATACATTAATTAGAAAAAAATTTTTTTCAACTTACTACAACTTAGGTGCTGTCTAGCAACTGAAGAAAGGAGGGAAACACGAAGTCTAATGAGAGAAAGAGATAAGGGACGTGCTTTGTCCAGTCTGTTCTGATAAGGGAAGTGTTGTCATGGAAATACTCAGGCAATTGGTTTCATTGGTTGCTTTTGACCATCTTCCTCTTCCCATTCAGTCTTGGGACCTGTGAGGAATTTCCAGCTGAGGTTGCGGTCCATACTGAGACCTAAAGGACTAAGAAGTTAGCCACCAGAGAGGTTTGATCTTTCAAATTACTGAAACATCACCCGAGAAGCTCTACAGGCCCATGAGCAAATGTTGCTAGAAACACTGAAGGTAGTTTGGGAAGGGTGCACCATATGAAGACAGGGCTAGAGGAGGGTGGAAAAATTAGACCTAGTACACCATGTTAGGAAGGCTAGACTCTTCTAGGGTGATGGCAGCACAACACTTTATGTAACAACATGACATAATCAGATCTGTACCTCAGAAAATACTCACTGCCTAYAGTGACAGTAATAATCCAGGCAAGAACTGATAAAAGAGGTAGTGGCTATGAGAACAGATAAATGGCTGGAGAAAAGGGTACCTAAGAGATGGCTGGGAGCTTTGAAGAAAGGAGGAATCAATCACCAAATCAGTAAGACACAAGRCTCTTGTGAAAGCTGGGGGTAGATGAATAGGTGGGTTTTCTGTTGGAGAGCTTCCAGGTAGTTTCTGTGAGATATGCAAGAAGTTATAACACTTCCTAAGTGGTCAGATTTGAAAACTGGAATTCATGCAAGAAACCACGGCTGGAAACACAGATTTGGATGGTCGAGGTAGAGATGAAGCTGAATTTCCCAGAGGAGTTAAAAACTTCCTAGGACAGAAGCGTGGTGGGTGTTCCAGCAACTGTGAGAAAACCCAAGAGAGTGGAATTCAATAAGGGCAGAAAATGAGTTTTTGAAAGAGCTGCCCATCATGTGAAACACAAGTCAACAGAAATAAGGACTGGAACGTGTCCAGTGGACTCGAGGAGGAGATCTGAGCAAGATGGGTTGGGCGACACGGTGGCGTTGACATACACAGGTGTGACGGCGCATTCCACAGAAAGGGAAGGAAGCTTGGCGCCTTGCAGGAGGTCTGAGACGGCACAGGCAACTGGACACTTGGTGTTTAGAGGGAAGAGAGGGGTGTTCGGTCAGAAAGAAGAAAAGAACTGGAGTAGACATGAGTGTGCTTGCAGGGGTTCTAGTTGGACACAGGGGTGCAGAACGTGAGCCCTGGTGTGACACATGACACTCTGCATTTGCACCCAAAGACAGACAGATCTCTCCTTCCCCCTCTACTGTCCCTTCGTTCTTTCAGGATTGGAACTGCAAATTAATGTGATGTTCCTCGTTCTGAAAGGCAGGCTCCCCAGCCCTCCGGAGGCCAACCCCACCTGTTCCCCTCTGCAGACCCGCACACCCAGCCCAAGTGCTCCCAAGTGCTCCACGGAACATGCATACATGTGGGTACACCCCAGGCAAACTCCATGGTTTCGGCGAATGCCAACTTTCACCTCTCTTTTCCAGAGYCATCTCCTCATCTTATTTTCTAGATCTGGCAACTATTAGATGTGCAAGAGGTTTCTTTGGTTTTGTTCTTGTTTTTGTTTTTAATAAAAAGAAAGAATTTGGAAATGTTACACAYTTGACAGAACATGTACAAGCAGTGAAAGCACCGAACCACAAGTAAATATTAAGGTTGCTCCTGTTTTAACACTGATGAAATCCAACTTGGGCACCAAGTGAAGAAGATCTCCCTGAATCACCACAGCAGGCTCTAGAGAGTCACGGTGGGGCATTTACAGAGGGTGGGCAGGAACTGCTCCAAAAGAACCACCCAGTATGTACAATGAATGTGTAAGGTCCTACATTAGGGAAGCCTAAAATCAAGACAATTAAATAAGTGATGTGCCACTAAAGCCAAATATATGCTAYAAGTAATATTTTTAATATGATAGAGCTACTGTAGTTAGAACACATACAATAAAAACACTTCTTTGCAATCTTCCATCACTGTGAGGTTCAATGGCATTATCCCACTTGAATGGTTAACAAGGTAACATGTTAGTTAACTTCCTTAGTAGCTCAAATAAATATAAATAAATTAGATCAATAAATGTAATTAACACATAATATAACAAACTTTAAGGAACTATTACAAATGAACTCCCATGTACTCTTGACACAGTATTGTTGTTCTACTGCTAAAGCAACTTTCTTTAAAAATATTATGTATCTGAACCCACTAACCAATTTTAGTGTCCCTAAAGATGGGATAAGATGGTATTTTGTTCCTTATGACATGATACAAAAAGAATACACCACCTATAACATATTCTTACCTAAAAACCTCAACCTGGATCTAATCATAATTCTCAGTTATGGGATAAAGAGGAACAAGTTAACCAGTGTAAAAAAGAAGCAATTACCCCAAACCAGCAATGTGAGGGATAATCTAAGGAACAAATAACCCAATTTTTCCAACAAGTCAATGGCACATTAAAAATAAAAATAAAGCAGAAGGATTGCTTAAAGAGATTTAAATTATACAACAGCCAAATGCAATATGCAGAGTTTCTGGATCCTGACCAGACAATCAGAAAATGTGAGCACAGTCTACTATCAATATGTAAGTACAGTATTAGATGACACTGAAGATAACTGCTGATTTTCATTAGGTCTAACAAGGGGTGTTTTAAAAATTTCTTATCAGTTGGAGATAAATACTAATCATTAAAAAAAAAAAAAGAAAAGAAAGAATGTGAGTATTGCGACTCCAATTTTTCAAGATTTTGAGTTGCAGGACTTCTCCTAGGAGTCAGGGATGAGGGTTTCTCTTCCCACTATAAAGGAAGAACCATGTCAAGTCACACGCACGCCACCAGCGGTTCTCAGCACGTCCACTGCCTGCCTTCCTCCTCTCCCTGGTCGGTCACAGAGCTGAGAGGTAAATCCAGATGCCTGTGACTCTGGTTTACCTGGTTCAGCTTCCTCAGCTGTAAACATGACGTAGTGCACAACTTACTCCTCGTCTTGGGGTGTGCAAGTGAAGGCAGTTAGCAAAAATCACAGAATGAGCCTGGGAGGATTTGAAAATGTCCATTTTACAGATAAAAGAACCGAGGCACAGAGACATGGAGTGATTTTCAAGGTCACGCTACAAATTGCTGACAGAGCCAAGCCAAGAACTGAGTCTTGGAAGGTCGCCAGCTCGCGCTCCTCCTTGCGCTCTTCCCTCTCACTGACCTTCCCGTGTTCCTTCCTCACGTGGGAGATGTACACATCCCTCTGCGTGAACAGGCGGTCACACTCCCAGCACGTCCACCCGGGACTGGCCACTTTCTTGCTTTCCATTGACTTTTTCACAGGAGATGGAGATTTCTTTTCCGATTTCTCTTTCCCATTCATGGACTTGGTGTCCTCTTTGTTCTGGTTTGCTGAATTTTGAGTTGCAGGCTTAATGCTCAAAGGCAAGTTTATGCCCAAGTTTGGAGGCCCTTCAATGCTTTTCAATGTTCCATGCATAGACTGCATTATAAAAAGAAAAGAAATATCATCACAAATCACACTACCAAAGGAAAACATGTGTGTAGACTACTGCCAATGCTTTACAGACACTTCAGCGGGATTTTATATTAATTCAGAAATACCTCCTAATATATAAAGGAGCAAACCTGAGCTAAAAAGACACATTTTAAAAATGTTTATAAAGGAGCATTACCTTTTATGGTTATTGCAAGTTGTATATTTCTACTTCAAGGAATTTTTAAAAGTTTACATATCTGTGCCATTTTAAAACTCTTTAAAGATAGACCTCTGAAATGAATCAAATTAATCCTGGTACTCTGTCCTCCCTTATGTTCCAGAGTAAGTCCTTCCTACCACAGACTATTCTACAGAGCATTTTACTTCCCTTTCTGCAGAAACGTTTCAATAGGCTAATATACCAGTATGCATCCACAAGCTTCAGCTCAGYTTGAACCTACACCGGAGAGCTAAAGTTAATAGGAACCTTTCTCGTCTTTCCCGTTTTTCACATTCTTGAGATATTTGTAGGTTGGGTTTTTGCTGGGTTTTCGGGGTAATTTTCACCTCCCTACCTATCCTGATCCATCCCTTATTACTAATAGCACCCAGATTTGCAAACWGTACATGGTTGTACTCAAAAAGCCTTTTGAAGTCACGTAGTTCATTAACATAATAGCAAAATAATTGTCTTAACTCACAGGATTTCAAATGTGAGTTAGGTAAAATTAGTGCAATTTGATCTATAGACCAGCTCACTTTAGTTTTCATGTCTGCTCTGAAGACATGGAGTCCAGAGAGAAAAGGAAACAAATCTGAATCTCAGATACAATCTCTTCAGGARGACTTCCTCTTCCCATCAGGACTTGGGCAAGCATCTCTCCACTCCTGAACATACCCAGGGAACACGCCAGGTCTCTTGGTTACAGAGATTGGCGGTGTGGAAGTGCTCCATGCTCCTCAGCAAGTGTGCATTGAAGATGCCATTCCTTCTGCCTGCTCCAGCACACTCTCAAGGGCAGGTCTTCTCTAAATAGCACCAAGAAGTGGCCTCCTTTATCTAGCACCATCTTTCCCCAGGAGGAAAAGGGGTTCTACTGACTTCCTCATCAGCAGAGGTTACAAGGTTTACTCCCCAACAGACACCAGTCTAAGGGTGGCAGAGAAGGAGACAAGGTTTCCAGAGACACAAAGCCCTCCTGCTGCTTCCCACCATGTGAGCAGAAGGTTTGTGTATCTAAATGGCTRTTTTCAAATCAGATGCTGATTTTTTACCTTTCTTAAGCATTTTAAACCCAAAGAAACAAAACTCAAAACCTTCTAAAACAGGTTTTCCYGAGTTCTTAGTCAAATACATTTTTACTAACTGAAAAGCTAAAGAGAGGGTAAAGTAATAAAATAACATCAAAACCAAAATGTCTTTTTTTTTTTTTTGACAATACTGGGGTTTGAACCTAGGAGTGCTCTGCCATTGAACTACACCCCTGGACCTTTTTATTTTGAGACAATCTAACTAAGTTGCTGAGGCTGGCCTCAAATTTGCGTTCCTCTTGCCTCAGCCTGCCTCGTAACTGGGATTATAGAAATGTACCACCACACCCAGCGCAAATGTCTTTTTTTAATAAAAGAAATTCACCTTGGGATGGGGGTGTTGTTCAGTGGTAGAGCATTTGCCTAGTATGTGCAAGGTCCTGGATTGATCTCCAGGACCTCAAAAAAAAAAAAAAAAAAAAGAAAGAAAGAAAGAAAAAAAGAACTATAATTTAATTCCTTTAGAATTGATTTTTTTCTTTGCTCTTATAACAAAAAAAATAACTTGAATAACTAACAAATGTGAATGTCAACATGAAGTACAGGGGACCTACAAAGTCAATGAATCTATATTTGTTAGAACAAAGAAATAATAAACAGGGTGCAGTGGCACATGTCTGTAATCCCAGCTACTGGGGGGGGGGGGCGCGGAGGTAGGAGGATGACAAGTGTGAGGCCAGCCTGGACAACTTAGCAAGACCCTGTGTCAAAATAAAATACAAAAGGTGCTGGGAATGTAGCTCTGTAGCAGAGTACCCCTGGATTCAATCAAAGAGGGAAAAAAGGAAAGGCAGGAAGAAATGAAGGGAGGGAGGGAGGGAGGGAGGGAACAAACAGGGTCAAGTTGGGCAAATAAAGAGTCACCTATAAATGAGTGTGTGGAATGTCCCCATCCACTTCTTCATTCCTTCCTCACAGACACCAGGCAAAGTAATGAATGACACAGCAAAACCTAGACACGTCATCTTAAAAAGCAGGGCACCCCTACAACTTTATCTTTACCCCAAACATATACATGCAGAACATTTTAAGATGCACTGAATATACTTGAGAACATCAGTGAACATTCCCACTGGATTCGTTTCATGCAAGCTTGTAAAGTTTTAGATTTTTTTTTAAAAATCCTGTCCTTGTGGCCATAGGCCTTTACCACCCCTCTCAGTCTCTACTCCTTGGAACCTCATCCACCTCCAAACCTTCTATTAACACAAGGAAGACCGTAATCAAAAAGCCCACAGCCCCACCTGCAGATGCAAAGACTGTCCCAGACAGCAGATGGATGAGAAAACTCCTTGGAGGCAACGTGTCTCCTCTTTTTCTCTTTCTTTTCTTTCTTTGATTGGTCTCATACATGGTTTGTTAAAATATTTTGTTCTAATTTCAATGACCCTATGTTTTTATCAGTAGCTTCTATTTTCCTGTCTTTGTTAGTATTTATTGTTGGAACATTCTTTTATAATGGATAAAATATCTTAAAAGGATTTTATTGGACTCCCACATACTTCTCGTGCATTTTACCCACAACAGTAAAACCGCCACAACTGCAGGAGCAGTCTCTCCAAGACACTGCGTGGATTGCTGGTAGAAGTTGACTCTGTATAAACTCACACACGATCAAGACGGGGATCTGCAAGGACTCACAGTCCATTCACTGAACTGATACAAGACTAGAATAATTTACAGACTTTATTTACTCTCTGACTCTTTATTTTTGAAATTTAAAAAGAAAACAACTAAAAGAAAAGAAAATGAGTTTATGATGGCATTGGATAGTGCCACTGGGTAGCACTTCCTAGGTGAGTGCTACCCAGTGAGCTACGGAGTGAGCTGCCACCCACCATGGTGACGGCCAAGCAACGAAGGTGAAGCACAGCCTCAGAGACTTAGAAGGCTGAAAACAGATCTCAGTGCCCTTTTGGGAAACAGAGAGCAGATAATCCAACAGAATATTTATTTACTTCATTAGTTGAACTCCTAATAGGTGCCAGGTACCTGCTACATCCTGAACATTTAAGAGTCAATTCACATGCAATTTTTAATTGGGGGTRGTGGTAGAGGGGTGGAGAGGACCAAGAGACCCAAGAACATCAAATAGGAAGCAAACTTCTTAAATGCTTAAAACTTGAGCGCTTAAACAATTTCAAGGGGAAACATTCATTTATCTAAATATACCATTATTTGAATGAAYTGATATAATTCATCAGAGCCCCTATTTCTAAATCTCATACAACACAGAGATCTCAAAACCGTAAACTCCACAGTCATCATTTTAGAGACATAAAGAGGAAACCTAATACTTTATCATTCTTATTATTCTTTTAAAATYAGGGCACATTTGCTCCTTTTCATGATTTTTATGGCGGGCAGATCAGGACTCAGTAAAGTGGACCCACGATGACGGCATGTAGGTTACTCATGACAATGACCAGCATCCATCCCTTCCCTGGACAGTGTGGCATGCTTTAAAGCAATCTGCAGCTCAGCTGGGGCTGATGACCAAAGCAAGAATCTGCAATTCACTTAGAGGAGAGGAGAGATGCTCACACACCTTGATATGATCCATCATAAGTTGCTTCTGTGCATATAAAAGAGAACAGTCTGGACACTTGAAAACAGACACCTTCTGGTTTTCAATGTGCTGGTCAAAGTGGCGGTACAGCAAGGTTTGCAGGGTGAACACAGTGTCGCACATGGAACACTTATAGATTATTCTAAAATAGAAGAAGCGCAGCAAAATAAGGTCAGTCAACCTCATCGCTCAAGTCAAAGGAGCTGCTACTTGACATCTGAAGAACTCAGGAGGCAGAAGCACACATACAAACACAATTAAAAGAACATTTTAGCTTTGAAACAAACTTTCAAGACAACTGGCATCACTCAATCACAGATCTTAACATTTGAGTAAAGATGTATTTGCTACATTTGTTTATAAGTGTAAATTAGTGGCTACTTTACTACTCACAAATCTACAGCTGACATGCAAAAAAGCATTCTTTTTTCTTTTCTTTTCTTTTTTTAAGGTACTTTTTAGTATCAGACAGGGCAATACAGCTCAAWGGTAGTACCCTGGCTTGGAAAACAGTTTGATTAAGAGTTAAGCAGCCCACTCAATTCTAATGCCAGAATGAATTGTTACTTGTTACAAGTTTTTAAGTCAGCAGTAATTTTACACTTAAGTGTGAACATTTCTATACCAGTTCTTAACAAAGGAAACCCTATGCCAGTAAACAACTATACACTGAGACAAGAAGACAAAAAAGGAAACCCAGGGCTGGGCATGTAGCTCTGTGGTAGGGCACTTGTCTAGCATGCATGAGGACCTGGCTTCTGCAAATAAAGAAAAAAAGAAAAGAAAATTWAAAAAGAAAACCCATGCCACAAGAAAGTTCAGTGTTTCTTGTGCTTTAAATGGCGTGGGTACTCCCTTGGCCACTGCAACCATTTCCACATCTGTCACATTACACCCAGTTCATGCAGCAGACTGAGTCTTCTGCACAGAATCCTTTCTACCTGTCCACATGCTTCACTCAAACTTGGGCAAGACAGGCCACCCCATCCTCCACCTCAACTGACCAGGAACYCCAGCCACAGTAGATCATCCCTTCTGGGTGACTGCTGTGGGTCATCCCGGCCCTCAGAGGAGGCCCTGTGGGAATCTKCTTGTCCTCTAAAGAATGTGCGAATAGGGTACAAAAAAAATCTAGGGAGCAGCTTGGGAAAATGTCAGAGGAAAACTGGTGAACGTAAAGGCCAGGGAGGAGCGAGGAGCAAGGCCAAGGCCACTGCAGAGCTAGAGGAAGGAATGCCCCCTAAGGCCACTCAGGGTCCTTCTTAACACAATGCTTCTCAAGATAGCTTCACACTTCACTGTGCAGTGTGCTGCCAAAACAATTACAGATTTTACTTTTTTCTACACAAGATTTAAAAATTTAATTGGAGTGGCATATGCTTTTTCCAAAACATCCTGCCTGATGTTTTCCCTTCCACCTCTGACTGGGCGTGGGGGGTGAAGACCAGAAGAGACCAGAGGATTTGCAAGACCTTAAATACAGCCCAATAATGGTCCCTATGATGCAACTGTCACAAGTRTGACGAGAATTATCTCTTTACTGATGGAATCACTCAGGACTGTGACAGCCCCAATGTTCAATGRGATAAGTGCTTAAATGCAGCAACTACATGGAGATCTTTTTTAAAAMCTATATTGTAATATGTCAAAATACATTCTACTGTCATGTATAATGAAAAAAAATAAGAAAATAAAACTTTTTAAAAAGATATCACATACATATACCAATGATATAGAGAGATTTTCACAAAAAGTAAAATAAAAAACACTAGATAACAAGACAGTTATATGATCACATTTTTTTAAAGGTGTAGAAAATAGAAGGCATATAATTATCATCATCTCTGTTGGGTGACAGCATATGTGTTCTTTTTACTGTTCTGTTTTGCTTGTTCATATYTCCTCCCCCCCCCCGCCCCCCGTAATTAAGATGTAACCATTAAAAGAAGAAGAGCTTCAAGAAAAGAACGAAAACTTATCAGCTGGACTGAGAATTTCCTCAGGATTCTATGCTCCCATTTTCAGAAATAACTGCTTCATGAAAAGCAGCACCGCTCTCAGGTTACTCGTTCCACATTCCTTTGGGGAGGGTTGGTCTGTTCAGTTGTTGTCTCATACTTACTAACAAGGAAAGTATAAAATGAGGTCATTCACTTAGCATATTTCTGAGTCACCTGAGGATCAAGTGGTCAGGATGGTACTGGAATACCTCCCACAAAATACTACAGAGCACAGAGAGAGATGTGGTGACATGACAGTGGAGGGGCCAGGAGACGGGGAAGGCCACATCAGCACTAAGGAGCAGGACAGGTGAACGTGGCCTGCGCAGGCGAACACAGAATCCCTTCTGAAGCATTCCTGCAAGAGTGCACGTCCTGGGCCAGCTGTGAGAAAACAGCCGAGGGCCGGCAGGTCATCCCCAGGACGACAGGCAGGACTGTGATCCCTTCTGGATGGCCATGGCATGGGGCCAGTAGGAGGGTATCTGAGCAACTATTCCRGATGGAGGCCGGGGAAGAAACAGGACAACTAAATCCAAAGGGCGTACCCAGATTAGGATCTTGGACATGAAAAGAAAAATACACTGACGGCCATCTAAGAACTGGAAGACACTGTACTCAACACCTGCTTCCTGAGAGCGGCTTGTGAAAAGGGCTGACATGAGTGTCCTTTCCAGGGGGGGAATGGAACACAAAGAAGCATTTAGGTCATGATGCCCAACCTCCTAAACATGAGGGGTGACAGGATACGAGAACAATGGGAAGGACCAAATACTGTAAATGAAAACAACCAAGGAACCTGGGTGAAGGGGATGCATAAGTTCTAGTAAATACTCCCCACGCTGTTGCAGGACTGAAACTATTACCAACTGCTGCTAACATTTAGAAAAATAAATAAAGGTACCACAAAGTTCACAGGCATGATTTTTAGGGATGGACCATAAAGATGGAGCCAACTTTCCAACAATAACCAAGAAGCCCCAGGGAGACAGTGTGCCAGGCAAGGGTGGGAGAGGCTTTCAGACAGGGAAGGTCTCCTTGGTGCTAAGGGAACTCTGCACCTGCGCAGCATGAGGGGACAGAGAGAACCCTGGTGTGACGGGTCCCCAGAGTGAAAGGGAGGGTGCTACTGAGTTGTGAAGAGCTTGGGAAGCCATGCAAATGGCAGGACTAACTATACCATAACACAGAGGGGAGGAAAGGGGAGAAGAGGAGAGAAGAAAGGGAGGCAGGGAGRGAAAAAGAAAAGAACAGAAAGCTAAACCCAAATGTTCTCATTCAGGTCAAATTTACAATAGCCCAAACTCCCCGGAACACTGTGTTACACTTGAACTAGGTGTAAAGACATAAATGCATAAAGGACTCTAAGCCTTGAAACTGTTGCCATAAACCCCACATTACCATTGACTGATCCCACCAATGGGAAGTGCACATCACACACCTGACCCCCATACCCAGGCTAGGTGGATTTACACTCATGCCAGTTCCCAGGTGGCATGCTGACACTTAGATTAGATAGTTTGCTTCATGTTAAATAAACCCAGGGCCATGGTTCAAATTCAGCTGTTTCTGAGACCTGCGTAGTCCTCTACCATGCCGATATCCTAACCTGACTTGTCTTTATGTCTTAGGAACTTGGTAAAAATTCTGTCTCTTATATAATTCTAAACTTTGGAGTTCTCGTTTCTCCACTGATATACATTTAGAAATAGCAAATAAAAGGAAAGCACAGTAAAAGAAACTGCAGTTAATCAGATGTCAAGGAAAAATTAAAAGATGAAATTTTATCCCTACAAAATACAGAGGTCAACACTGAAAATGCATCTTGAATAATCCAGAGAAGATTAAGGGGTGTCCAAAGGTTCCTTTTAGAAAACAGAGACATACGCCTGCCCATAAACTGAAAAGCAAGAAGCAACAGGCTTCCAGCAGCCCTGGCACTCAGTGAACACTGTGTAAGTGTGGTGAGGTCAAAATCCTGCAGGAAGGGGATGGAGGGGAAGGAAGGGGGCATGGGGTTAGAAAGACAGTGGAATGTGATGGTTATCACTACCCTAAGTACATGTATGAAGCTACAAAGAATGTGACTCTACTTTGTGTACAACCCGAGATAAAAAAAAAAAATTGTGCTCTATACATGTAATATGTATTGTAAGGCATTCTGTTGTTATATATAACAAATTAAATTAAAAAAATAAATAAAAATAAAAATAAAATCCTGAATTGTGCTTTTCAAATTGAGGTGCTAGGGTTGCAGGCTTTTATGGAGTATTTTCAAATACCCATGTATTCACTAAATATAGTAGGAATTATTTCAGAACTAATCATTAAGAAATAGTGCAAATTGTGTGTGATTTTAGATCATTTGCATAACCACCTGTCAACTAAACACTGCTGGAAGATTTCAGGCTCAAATTTCCTTTGGAGTAGGGACTACTTACTCATTTTGAACTTAATGCCAAAATAAAGCTTTTGGGTCAAATGTAGGCCAAGCGACTGCAGGATGAGAAGTTTCACRGTGGTTGGAACTGGAGCAGGTGGCAAGGGAAACACTGTCTCAGGCTCTGGTCACACAGGCCCACAAGCCCCTCAGAGCTACATCAGCAGCACCCTTTGCTATAGACAGGCTGCAAGCAAAGACAACACAGCCCAGCCCGGCCACACATCAAACTAATACTAACTTACACTTTATTGGTGTGTGAGTTTTGTTTGCCATTTCATCTGCAAATTTGTTTTAGTTTTATAGTTTAAACCACAATAGTTTATAACCAATTTTAGGCCTGTACTTATGAAAGTATCATGGTAGTAAATCTATTTAAGAAAATATGGGAATAATTTCTTCCTAAGCAATACAGTAGCCTCTTCTCTTTACCCACCAGGTACAATGTTCCAAGATGCCTGGTGGATGCCTGAAAGCCTCAGGTAGTACCAAGCCCTATAGTTTATTGCTTTTCTCTCTTAACAGTGCTTATCACACATTGTGGCTATAACGTTTGATGGACAACAGCAAAACTAGCACTAATACATTTTTCCTTCATAATTTCACAAACAGAAGATTTGTTCTCATGGTAGACCTTAGCAACCTTAACTTAAGATTTTTATTTTCTTTCCCTATTAAGGTCAAAAACTTTCACCCCTTTTTATTTAAAGGTAGCACTTTATGGCTTCTCTTTGGCATATCTGAATTGCCAGTATCACTGTATCTGGGCTTTAGGTCCATTATTAAGAAAAACAAAGGTTACCTGGCCACAAAGGTTACCTAACTGTGGTGCACCTTCCACCAAAGTCCATCTACTAACCAAGCTTGTCACCAGTGACAAACAGGCCAGCAGCATACACRGTGTGGTCACACTGAATAAAAGGATGATTTGTGTCCTGACAAAGCAGGATGGTGGGAGAGTMTTTATAAATTGTTTATTTCTAGAATTTCCATTTAATATTTTTAGACCATGGCTGATACTAAGACAAAGAAAATAAAATGGCAGATGCAGGAAGTAGAGTGACTACTGTACTAAAATTTGAGAAATACTATTTTAGCTTATTTTAACATCTGCTGCCCTATATTTTCAGGTTAAAACTACTGTGCCAGATTTCAAACAAAGTTTCATTTATTTGAACAGAGAATCAAATAACTATATTCASGTGAGAAAAAGGTTGCATTAGTGCCCAGAAGTTTTATTTTTATCAACACCGAAGATGCTAACATTCACTAATCCCCATCTTCATAGTCAACATCTCAACATGCACACAGATCCTCGAATTTGCAACTGATTTCACTCTGAGAATCAATATACAAAAGATCAAAGTAAAAGTCCTATTAGTAKAAAATCATATTTTAACATTTTTTTAGCAAACAGTTATCTCTAAGTATTCAATAACATTTTCCCAAAACTAAATACTATAATAAAAACTAGATATAATAGSGAGAGAAAAAAATACAGATATTATATCACATACCTGCATTTTCTCCACAATAATTCCTTGATAAGCAGTTATGGGCAAAAATACACCAATGGGGGTGGGGTRTAGCTCAATGGTAGAGCATTTGCCAAGCATGTGTGAGGCACTGAGTTCAATTCTCAGCACCAAATACATACAAATAAGTAAATAAATAAATAAAATAAAATATTAAAAATATTAAAATATTTTTTTAAAAAAAATTATTTGAACAGCAAATCCAGCATCATGTAATTAGCAAACTCTACATTGCAAATGAATTCAGGAATAAAACGAACACAACCAGAAGCATATAATCCAGTGCCGTGTCCACAAGGGGCAGAGCCATGCAGGAAGGAACAAATGCTTAGAGCCTACTGCAATCGCCACACAGGACCCATGAGTTACATTTTTTTTTGTTGTTTTAATTCTTATATATTGCTGAGGCTTAGAACCCAGCCTCAYACATGCTGGGCAAGCGCTYTACCACCGAGCTATAACCACAGCTCCAAGCTACACATTTTTCAGATATATCATCTCATCTTCTTCTACAGACGCTGGAATGTAAGCATTACCCCCACTTTAGAGGAGAGAAAATAACAATCAAGACAAGAAAGCAACAGTCAAAAGCTATGCAGCCGGCCCGTGGTAGAATTCCTTCTCTCCTGTGGGCAGGAGGCCCCCTCTGCTGAAGGCCACTCCACTATTACTCCACAAAGCAACAATCAGTAAAATGAAGAGTGAGGTGAAGGCAAAAACAAACTTTAATTCTACTCATCAAGGACTTATGCTGGCTCTGGAATTAAGTTCAGTAACCAATGTCTTCTGTTGACTTCATTTTATAAACATTACTGGGAAAAGTTATAAAAACTGTGTAAAATTTTAAAGTGGAGAGGTTGGTGGTGKTGTTACTATTTTCCTAGAAGTTGAAATCATCTTAAGAATAAAATAAGTATTTGCTTGTTTAGCAAAAATTTGTGAAAGAACATGAATAGTAAGTGACATTTTTGGACAAGGACTTTACCTGGAAAAAACAGAAAGGTTTGGGTGAGCTATGATTTGTATTCATAGAGCATCAAAATCAGCATTGCTGAATAAATGTTTATATCTTAAATGTCATTGAGAGAACAATCACCTCCTCTAAATGACTATTTCAGCATCGGAGTAAACATGAGAAGTCAGCGTGACTTACTTTGGTTCTCCTATCTTGATGCCAGGATGCTGTGTATAGGAGTGGGAATGTGTACTCGGGGCAGACTTAAACGCCATTGGGCAGATAGGGCACTTGTAGAAGACTTCACAGTGAGAGCCTTGAATGTGAGACTTCAGTGCAGCCACATCAGAGTACACAACATTGCAATGTACACATCTGTCAGAAAAACAACACAGTCGTTAGCACAGAGCACTAAACACACGTGACTTTGCTGTTGAAGAACTGGGTAAAAGGAACCTATTTTATGGCCCCTTTGGGTTTCCAATGGCTTTTTGGAGGTATTTTGTTTTTCTCTGTTTTCACCAGATTAAACTTATTTCTACATGATTAAGAGGAAAGATCATGAAAAAAAAAAAAAAAAAGAAACTCAAGTGAGTTTTTTGAGCATCTTTACAATTTCTAGAAATGATGTCCCTACTCCAGACTATTTTGAGACTAACAGACTATGACAACCAGGTCAAGACCCAGGAACACAGCAAGACGCCATGACTCCTGCCTTTGAGGAGGACTTCCAAGGCACCAGGGACTAGGGTTTCCCATCCTTCCCAATATCTAGTGGAAGATACCTCCACAGTCTAAACTGCACACCTTAACAGAGGCCAGAGGCGACAATGAACACTGGTCCCAAAGCCATAGGCCACTGTCTCCCAGTGCACACTGTATAGTTAATGGATGGTCACCCATAGGGTTACCATAGGGTGGAGGTCAACCRCCTAGAATTTCTGTCTCCTGAAAATAAATGAGCACACCTGCATTTGTTATTAAAATTACATGAATTATAAGCTTCTGAAAAATCAGCATTTCTTAAAAAAAAAAAGCTTCCTAGATAATCTCCCTATTTGTTTGTTTGTTTATTTACTTATTTATTTATTTTGGGGGTAGTGAGAAGTGAACTCAGGGGYACTCTACCAGAGCTATATCCCAGGTCCTTTATTGTGAGACAGTGTCTCATTAAATTGCACAGGCGGCCTTTGAACTTGCAATCCTCCCACCTAAGCCTCCCAAAGTAGACGGTTTTATAGACACACAACAACTGTGCCTGGCTTTACTTCTTGAATTTCTAAATAATTTGACAACTAGCTCATTCCCTGCTCAATTTAACCCCACAGAAACAAACTATAAAATTAAGAAACATTTCTCCCTTACCTCATCTTTTTCACACAAGGACTCTCAACAACACTTACAACTCCTCCCACATGATGGCAGAGTCTTCTTTGTTCATAACTGGAAACCAGTTAAGAGTGGTCTCGCTGTAGACCCTTAGGAATCTCCAAAGATATACCTCAAATGCAACTGAACACGTGTTCCTGGACATGTATACGTGAGTCACCTGGGGGGAGGAAGGCTCAGATAGGGCCCACCATCCAAGAAGCAGTGCCCAGGGACTTCTAATAACCTAAGACATCTCTATTCTTAGCTCCCTTCCAAATMGAGGAAAATGCTTCTAAAGTCACTCAGACGTGGCATGGTGTGAATTATACGTGTTCAATAAATCATGCCATCTTGGTTTTACAAGAATTTAAGTTGTAATTAATGCATTAGCATTTTCAATGTCTTAAGGCATAATGTTCAGCAACACAGGCACTAAAAACATTACTAACAACAGGAGAATAGAAGGAAATCTTCGCTATGCTATCTACTGGAACTGTAATCTTAAGCAAAAGAGGAGTCACCCAACATACTCARATTCTTTTGGGTTAACTTACTGTGTTATCTTGAATAGGTTAATGTTCCTCTGTGGGCCAGTTGCTCGTGTGTTAAATGACAAGCATTGGAATATATCAGTCTTACTTCTTACCCACTCTAGAAGTCTATGATCCCAAGGAAAGGGGGAGACTGTCAAACAGGAAGATGGGTTACTAATGAAAACCAAGAATACACTATGCCATAAACCTCAAATAAAGATCTTCCCATCAGATGTAGGAARGTGGTGTTCAAAATGCAAAACACCAAGGAAAGACAAAAAGGAGCAAAGATAAAAGCTTAATCCCATGAAGTCAGTGGGACTAGAAGGTTTAATTTATAGAAAGTATGAAGAAGTTAAGTATCTAAACTACAGGTGGCATTTTTTGAGACAGGAGAAAGTGGCAATGACTCAGTCCAAAAAGTATTATAGAGGTGAAGGGGAAGTCCTCCTTAAGAAAAAAAGCAGGGCATGTTTAAAGTCCTAAGAAAGGACAATGTTGTAAAGCCTCTGCCCAGAGGGGACAGAGAGGTTCAGGGCAACCGAAATCAATAGGGAATGCAAATGAGACAGGCTAAAAGAAACAGAATTTAAAGGGCTCATAGTTTTACAACGCTACTGAAAATCCTATCTATTGAGAAATATTTGTATACCSGACGTCTTTTATATGCTGGGTACCAATCAAGGTTCTTTATTTTTTGAATATTTTTTAAATGTTTAATGTAATCCTATAATAATCCCCTTGTAAGATGTARAGCCAATGTTTTGGGAGGCAGAAAAATACTTGACTTTTATCCATATTCAATATTTATCAAGTTACCAGGAGCCAGGGTGACCCCTCAGTATTCAGGAGATGCAACATGAGCAAGAAGAAAGAGAGTGAGGCTGGTGGTGCCCGCAGGCCTTCATCCAGGGAGGAAAAAACAAAACAAAGGAAGGCCTGGGAACCACCTGAGCAGCTTCTCTGGCTACAGATAACAAGTTGAAAACAATTAGCCATGAGCCAAAAAGGAGAGAGAGGCACAGCAGGGCCAAACCAGGCAAACATCAGAATGGACCATTATGTACAACAGCAAGAAAAGAAACTTTATTTCTCTTCTAGAGAAGAAATAAACACAAATTAAACTTCAAAATAAACAAACAGAATATTTTTACAGTTCACAAATCCTCAAGTCCAGGGTAGAGGAAAGGTCATCTATACTTAACACAAAACTTTTAACAAAAATTGGAACTCTGTTATTCAAAGCACCACATTTAAGCAACTCTAAAGATGGGGCAAAAGCAAAGCTGAATGTCTTTTCCAAAACAAGTGACTGCTTTCAGGCTGCATGAGGAGCATTTTAACTTACAAAACATACAAGAAGCAGCTCCTTCCTTGTCCGCTCCAYCTAGGTTTGCTTTCATCATATCAGAGGGAGAAGGGAAAAGTTTGAGAGGAGTCTAGACGAGAGAATCAACAGCACCCGTAGAAGTGGCGGGGAACTTTCTACTCTACATGCAGGGTCCACTAAGAGTTTCAAAACGTGATGATAAGGACAAAGGGTAAGCCTGCATGGACTTGTGGAAACAGGGACCTGAGTATCTTATTTAGCTCTATAAAATCCCGAGCCACTAAAGGCAGGTACTCCCCCAGTTTGTTCTCTGCAGCACAGAGAGAATACATGAATTTGTATACAATCAGTTTATGGACAAAACTGATACAAAAAAAAAAAAAAAAAACCCTGGTTTCTTGATTTCTAAACCAAAAATTTCCTAACAGGATAGATCCAATCAATAAAATATTTGTGCACTGGGCTAGGGATGTGGCTCAAGCGGTAGCGCGCTCGCCTGGCATGCGTGCGGCCCGGATTCGATCCTCAGCACCACATACAAACAAAGACGTTGTGTCTGCCGAGAACTGAAAAATAAATATTTAAAAATTCTCTCTCTCTCTCTCTTTCTCTCTCTCTCTCTCTCTCTCTCTCTCCTCTCTCTCTCTAAAAAAATAAAAAAATAAAGTATTTGTGCACTAAAAATTTGAAGGCATGAGCTGAAAATGGAAAGCCAGCCTCATATTTTAGTATTAGAAAATATGGGGAAAGCCACCCAGGAACCAATGATACCAAAACCCAAGTTTAAATAAAGTAAAATCATACAATCATACCAACTAGACCTTGTTTCTATAAAATACAACTGGATTACAACTAAAAAAAAAAAAAAAAAAAAAACCTACCGCATATTAACAGTCCATTATTAAAGCTACCAAATAACTAATGTTAAGATAAACATACAATACAGTAATACCTCTATTAATAAAGACACTTATCAATGACAAGTTCACTTGGGAAATTTTAATCAAATTGAAATAAAATATAGCACATGAATGCATTTTAGAAGGTCATGAAGTAGAGAATAAAGTACCTCATCACTCAACACTCTCTAAACTAGCCTTGAATTTGCCAGATGTTGTAAAATAACACATCTGGGAATCTTCAGAGACAGTGAAAGGGACCATAGTTATGATACATAAAAGAGACAAAGGGAAAACCTAGACTCAGGTAAAAGAGAAGGAAGGGAAGAGAAGGTCATTTGAAATGGAAATCCCTTCCAAAAAGAGCAATGTTAGAAAAGGACGTATACCAGATCCCTCAATGTGGATAAAGTAACCAACCATCATACCATTTCTATCTTCCCTAGCAAAGCAGAAGTATTTAGAGGTGCAGAAATGCATATTTTTGCAGGGGTTAAAATGTGGGGAATGTGACAATGAAAGTATGTTTAAAGGGTGCAGAAAGAAAGTCAATCAAAGCCAAACCTCCATACGTGTGCATTTTGGCTACAAGACATACACTTTGGCTACAAGAAGGGCCCTCTTCCTCAGTTTTGTGTGGAACAGAAGGGCCAATGTTGAAAGGATTTAAACAGACCAACTCTACTACAAACCAACTAGGACCTGTTAATCGAGGTATCATCACACCACTCTGAGAACTATGAGCTCAGACCACTCAAACAGCAGTGTAGTTGTAAGTGTACGAGCTGAACTTACACATAAGTGAACAATATACTAACCGAAAACCAACTCTCCGCGTGTAGTGCAGACAGTTCTTGGTGACGTGGGTCTGGAAGTGCACCGACCTGCAGATGGCCCCACACTCAGGGCAGGTGTAGGGAGATTTGTGCTGATGGATTCTCTGGTGTGATGCGTAACTGCACTGGTTAGGAAGCAGCATCTGGCAGATAGTGCAAGTCTTCTAAATAAACCAAAGGGGGAAACAGGGTTGGTCCTGCTAAGTTTCTTCTAATAGGCAAAGAACCTTGGTTAAACCTCACAGTAATTACACTTCTCTCATTTCAAACACTATTGCAATTGATTCTAAGCCAAAGGGAAATGCAATGGAAAATTCTTTACCCTGTAAAAGAAAAATAATCTCTACTATGCAGTCAGGTTTGTCTCAAAATAGGAGYTCCAATTTTATYATTTTTAATTTGTTTAGCGTGAAGAAAAGTTATTAGGAAAGCTGTTCCTGTGAATTATGTTAGCAATTCAACTTTCATGTAAAATAATAAGTTCATGGGTATGTGTATCTTGACGGTAGTCACAGTTTCCATAGTTCATAAATTTTCTTCAAAATTACAAAAATTAAACAGAGGCTAATCCAGTTTCTTTTTTTCTCCCCGTCACTTCAGTTATTTAAAATCTGAAATACAGGAATGCAAAAGGATGGCCATTAGTTTTCTCTTTGCACTTAAATTCGTCTTAAATGGATGAACTGGCCATAATATGATTCATAATTAAAACCAATAAACTCAAGCCTCAACATGAGTTTAGACATTAAATTGAAAYTTTATAGCTTAAGATCTGATTACATATAAAATAAAATGAAAACTGAAATCCTTTTTGAAAAAGGTTTTATCATTAACTATCCATKAAAAACCAAAATCACTATTTTTCTTCCCTTTATATGTAAGTACCAAACATAGTCTATTTTAAATACATAAAAGAAAAAAACCTTAAAATGAAAACTAAAGACTTATTAATTCCACCCTAAAAATACACCCAGAATAGCATATGAGATAAAATGTGCTTGAATACTTTTAAACATTCATGCAAAAAACAAGTATCTACTATCTTCTAAAATACACAAATTGTATTAAAGTCAAAGTCTCAAAATTTAAAGATTTTTRCTAAGATTTAAATCACTCAATAYATTAACAACAGAGCTAGAAAATTTTTAAAGGCTTTTTTGATGCCCTAGGTTTAATCCCCATAAACCCCTCCCTCCAAAAAACAAAACAAAACACCTCATATCCTTCTAGCTTTTGAATCAAGCCCAAAACTTAAGATTTAAAATTTAAACTACAGAGTGACTTAGACCAAGAAAAATAGGAAACTCACTTGAAAATTCTCTCTTGGTTTTCTCCTGAAAGGACTAAAGTACAAATTTTATCCCATAAAATGTTTATTATAACCATAAAATAAGAACATTACAGGCAGCTTTGATGAGGTTAGTGTCATTTAAAAATAGCATTCCTTTTCTAATAACATATTTCAAAGGTTAAACAAGCCACAACAAGGAAAACCAATCAACAGATTCATTAATTACAACATTCTGTTAACGTCTACATCATCACCAGTAATCATTTGTTTCTTTGAACTAAAGTCTTCTATCTACCTTCACACAGTCATTAATACCAGGCATCCAATTATGATGACTAGTTTTCCACASGCATCTTTAAAATGTCTTGAATTTACTTGGGAATAAAACTCAGATTTTTCAATTTTAAAAAAGTCAAAAGACATTATTTATCTACACATATACACATTTATGCATATATACATACACATAAATTATATGAATGTGTGTATATATAAAATATAAATATAGACTGTCCCATTTCACCATGAGCCAAGTGGCAAATTGGGTACATAAATAAGTTTAAATACACCATCTCATTTATTTTTCATAATAATTTGTGAAGTAGATAATATCTCCATTTTACAGGTGAGGAAATGAGGCTTTGCAAAGTTAATAGACTTTCCTAAGGCCCCCAGCTTTAAGCGCAAGAACCAGCATTTGAACCAGGCTCTATCAATCCGGAGGCATCTTGATGGAGGGGTAGGGAAGAAGTAGGATGGAGGTCACAAGAAATAAACAACAAAAAATGTACATCATTAAAAAACTATTAGCAAATACACCGAATGCCAAAGATGACCATGTTATGTTAGGATCAGAAATTATTCGTCTTCCCCCAAAGACTCTGTTATGAAAGTAATGTGATTATACTATTTTTATAATAGGAACAAATAACACCTAAAAGGGAAGAAGGTGTGTTTCCTAAAAGCTGAAAAAACTTTTCATCAGGATATAATTTCAACTGGTTACCCCAYACAACACAAAAAATTCACAATGTACCTCTGAGGTCCTTCACCACCATCATCATCGTTACCACCCTGCCTCCTGCCTCCCATGCAGGAGGAACCTGCACTCATCCATTTCCACCAGCTGAGGCTTTTCACTCACAGGGTACAGAAGGCCTGGGAGAAAGAGGGCCAGGAGGACTACAGCCTCAAATCAAAGTGCTTTCCCATTCGAAATGGCTGAAATAGGAGCGTGTGGTCATCTGGGAATCGTGCTGGGACTCAGGGACCTTACCTGTACTTCACACAGACCTATGTGTATTCTTGTGCATATACTGCTTTTACTCCTGAAAGGGGACAGGGTGGTCTTTTGGTTGTAGACATTCTCCTTCTCCATGCTCACTCAGTACCAGTACTTTCAAACTGATATGACATCGTTTACTTAACTGTACTCCCTCCTGTTATGTAACTGCACCTGTTACAGAAAACATATCATCCCAGCTCCCAGGACAGTGGTGATGGGTTTTTATAGCACAAAGGGGGTATATTCCATTGTTTTTCTGGAAGCTCTGAATTCATGACAAAAATGCACATTCTCTAGATTTAGGGAATACATTTGAGCAGAGAGACAGACAAGGATTTCTCCACAGACTATAAGAATATGGCTTTCCCTTTCTTTTTTAATCAAGGAAAATAAAATATATCTGAAAAGTCTAACTCTTCATTGCACAAAATTGAGACTAGTTTACTAGAAGAAAGCAGTTCACCCTGACAGTTCCTGTCTTTTGAAAAGAAGAAAGCGTTTCATGTGTCTCTTGACATTTAATTTACACTATTAGAAAAATGGATATTTTCAATACCTAAATAATAAATAGCTAATTTCTACTTGGGGCAGGTTCATTTGCTCAGGGAACTGTTAAAAGTAGACATTAGTTTTCAACAGCATCACATAGTCCTAGAAAGCTATGCGAAAACAAGGCTGAAAAGTAATTATGTTTTGTGCTTCATAGTTACTCTTCTTAAGCCTTTTTTAAGCCAATTGTGGCACTAAAACTGATGGCGGGCTTGCAAATACAGGCCAGGGAAAGGGAAGGGGCCGTAATGGCCTGGGAGTCAGAATGTGGAGCTTGGCTCTCTCTTCCCCTAAGTGAGGAAATGTCTGAGTAACAAGGAAAATAATTCTACATATTTCAATTCATACTTCAGGCAGAAAAACAGCCTCAGGAAGGTACAAAGAGAGGGTGAGAAAGGCTAGAGAAACATGAGCCAACATATCTAATATTTACGCTCAACTTCAAATGGACCAACGCCTGCAACAGCATGAAACATGGATCCAAAGGCCCAACACTGCCAGCTCAGCAGTCAGCCAGATGCTAAGTAAATTACTCCGCCTCATTAGCAGCAGTTCCATGATCTCTGTCTAYAATATAATTACCAAAAAAATAGTAATAACAAAGCATACCAGTTTGCTTTCTGGCCTTCGTTTTCATCCAACTTCACAAAAAGAACACAAAGAAAACATTCTGTTTCAGATCTCACTTAAGTGGGAATAGCGCTTGTTGCATATACCTTTGTTCCCAAAATACCTCTGTCTTCAAGTCATTGGCCACAATCAAAATCCCTAATAAGTGTTCACTGTTAAAAATGAGCAAATTTACAGAAAGCGTGGATCTGACTAAGATGATCATCTAGGTACACTGAGCTGGTAACACTAAAATACAAACTGGGACAGGACTAGCTCATAATGTCATCAGGGAGGAGCTGAGGTCCTCAGTTTTCAAAAGAAACTGCCTGAGTAGAGTATACCTGGAAAGTCAAACTGGCAAAGACTGCTCAAAAGAATTTAACACTTGCTCTGTTGTGTTAATGACACCCGAAACTAAAATGAATGAGCAACCTGAAAATGAGGACCACTGTGGATATGTAACCTTTATCTGTACTCTTAAAGCTCATGTGGTGTAACCCCAAAGTCTGTTCTTACATGATTCCTAAGCTCCCACCAGCTGTAAAATTCTATGCTTCTATATCCTAAGGAATCTGTGTGAAGTGGGAAGATACAGAAGCAGCAGTAAAGAAACCCTGCTCTGAAACCCTGGTTCCGCCACTAATTGGACATTGTTTTTCCGATTGTAAAGAGTAGACCAAAGGGCCAAGCACAYGTGGCTGGTGTAGATTCCATAGAAAGAAAACAGATTTTAATGATTAACAGGGTACCACATCCATTTCCAGTCTGTACTTGGCTAAATTCAGTCATGGTTTTATTAAGAGGTGAAGCAATGACATTCCAATGTTTAAATATCAATTATGAAAGCTACAAAAAACTAGAGCCATCAGCTCCTGCCTAGCTCAGGAAGAGGCGCAGGCCCCTCCAGCCTCAGTCTGCTGCTCACTCTCTCAAGACAGGTCAGAACAGGGACCCACAACAGGGACAGATTTATTGTTCACTGCCCTGAAGGGCTGAGACCCACCCCTCGGTGCCATCACCTCCTCTSTGTAAATGCACATGGGCAGACCTGTTTAACCTCAGCCTGTGCGTGCTTTAGGTTCCTGGACCACATCACCTGCCATGTGTGATAAAATTCCAAGACTCAGATACAGACTTGGGAAATGTCAGCGAAGAGGGCTGGGGCCAAGCCCTGTGCTTCAGCCCAGCTCTCCCCAGAGACCTGGGCCAAGGTGCCGCTGAGCACAGAGACGATGCTCTAGGCATTGCTATTTCTGTACAGATCAGCCGCAGAGCATCAGGGGAAGAAGAGCAGGCGGCAAGCAGAATTCAGCAAATGCCACCAAAGCCTTCCTTCAGGCTGTAGCCGATGGGCACGCCCTTGGAAGGCTGAGCACCCAAGCAAGGGAGGTGGTTCGGGAAGTTGGACAAGCAGAGCCACAACCCAC